AAGAATATCTTCATAAGCACTTACCATCAAGACGAAATTGGCGACAGAAACGGAGAAGCGACATGCTACGGAAACCTAAATGTGTTTCAATCTGTCGGAGAATATGCCGAGGCTGAAGAATATCTTCATAAAGCACTTACCATCAAGACGAAATTGGCGACAGAAACGGGAGAAGCGTCATGCTACGGAAACCTAGGAAATGTGTTTGGAATCTGTCGGAGAATATGCTGAGGCTAAAGAATATCTTCATAAAGCACTTACCATCAAGACAGAAATTGGCGACAGAAACGGAGAAGCGTCATGCTACGTAAACCTAGGAAATGTGTTTCAATCTGTCGGAGAATATGCCAAGGCTGAAGAATATCTTCATAAAGCACTTTACCATCAACACAGAAATTGGCGACAGAAACGGAGAAGCGTCATGCTACGTAAACCTAGGAAATGTGTTTCAATCTGTCGGAGAATATGCCAAGGCTGAAGAATATCTTTCATAAGCACTTACCATCAAGACAGAAATTGGCGACAGAAGCGAAAGGTCAAGTAAACCTAGGGAAATGTGTTTCAATCTCATGCTACGTAAACCGGAGAAGCGTCATGCCGTAAACCTGTGTGTTTGGATCTGTCGGAGAATATACCAAGGCTGAAGAATATCTTCATAAAGCACTTACCATCAAGACAGAAATTGGCGACAGAAACGGAGAAGCGTCATGCTACGTAAACCTAGGAAATGTGTTTAAATCTGTCGGAGAATATGCCAAGGCTGAAGAATATCTTCATAAAGCACTTACCATCAAGACAGAAATTGGCGACAGAAACGGAGAAGCGTCATGCTACCGTAAACCTAGGAAATGTGTTTCAATCTGTCGGAGAATATGGCAAGGCTGAAGAATATCTTTAAAATCTCAAGACGGAGAAACGGAAGCGTCATGCTACGGAAACCTAGGAAATGTGTTTCAATCTGTCGGAGAATATGCCAAGGCTGAAGAATATCTTCATAAAGCACTTACCATCAAGACAGAAATTGGCGACAGAAACGGAGAAGCGACATGCTACGGAAACCTAGGAGCTCTGTTTGTACTTGTAGGAGAATATGGCAAGGCTGAAGAATATCTTCATAAAGCACTTACCATCAACACAGAAATTGGCGACAGAAACGGAGAAGCGTCATGCTACGTAAACCTAGGAAATGTGTTTCGATCTGTCGGAGAATATGGCAAGGCTGAAGAATATCTTCATAAAGCACTTACCATCAAGACAGAAATTGGCGACAGAAACGGAGAAGCGTCATGCTACGTAAACCTAGGAAATGTGTTTGAATCTGTCGGAGAATATGCCAAGGCTGAAGAATATCTTCATAAAGCACTTACCATCAAGACAGAAATTGGCGACAGAAACGGAGAAGCGACATGCTACATAAACCTAGGAAATGTGTTTGGTTCTGTCGGAGAATATGCCAAGGCTGAAGAATATCTTCATAAAGCACTTACCATCAACACAGAAATTGGCGACAGAAACGGAGAAGCGACATGCTACGTAAACCTAGGATATGTGTTTCAATCTGTCGGAGAATATGCCAAGGCTGAAGAATATCTTCATAAAGCACTTACCATCAAGACAGAAATTGGCGACAGAAACGGAGAAGCGTCATGCTACGTAAACCTAGGAAATGTGTTTGAATCTGTCGGAGAATATGCCAAGGCTGAAGAATATCTTCATAAAGCACTTAGCATCAAGACAGAAATTGGCGACAGAAACGGAGAAGCGACATGCTACGTAAACCTAGAAAATGTGTTTCGATCTGTCGGACAATATGCCAAGGCTGAAGAATATCTTCATAAAGCACTTACCATCAACACAGAAATTGGCGACAGAAACGGAGAAGCGACATGCTACGTAAACCTAGGAAATGTGTTTCGATCTGTCGGAGAATATGCCAAGGCTGAAGAATATCTTCATAAAGCACTTACCATCAACACACAAATTGGCGACAGAAAGGGAGAAGCGACATGCTACGGAAACCTAGGAAATGTGTTTGAATCTGTCGGAGAATATGCCAAGGCTGAAGAATATCTTCATAAAGCAGTTACCATCAACACAGAAATTGGCGACAGAAACGGAGAAGCGTTATGCTACGGACACCTAGGAGCTCTGTTTGTACATGTAGGAGAATATGGCAACGCTGAAGAAAATCTTCATACAGCACTTACCACCAACACAGAAATTGGCGACAAAGACGGAGAAGCGTCTCGCTACCTAAAGCTAGGAAACACATCTCAAGCCTTATCGGATCTCTGGTCAAGCATTCAAATTTACGAAAAAATGCTTACTTCTCTAGGAAGCAAAGATAGCCACAATATATCATTTTTTGACAAGAACGCGTCTCCCTATCGGCTGTTTTGTTCATTGAGTTGTTTTTGTGGGAAACCCTATCAAGCTTTACACGCTGCTGAACTTGGACGGGCCAGAGCTCTAGCAGAACTTATGTCAAATCGCTACTCCATTGAAAAAGAAATATCCATCAACCCACAATCGTTTGTTGGCATCGCGGAAGTAATTAAGAAAAATGGCAACAGCACCTGCCTCTACATCTCCTATGACTACGATGACAATATATTTTTGTGGGTTTTGAAACAAAACAAACCGGTAGCCTTCCGAAGAACGAAACTTTGTGAAAGTTATGTTAGCAAGCATGGCAAAATCTCTGTGTATGACCTGTTTGGAAACGAAAGCTTATTAAGAAAATTTCACGTTTTACCTCAAGAGCAATGCGAAGACCGGACTCTTTCTTCATTCGCCAACCAACTTACAAACGAATCAAATCTGGAAGATAGTCTCTCAACCTTGCGTCCTCTTTTAGATGAGGGAGAAGTATACACGGACCCTGAACCGCCAACACGTTTTCAGGTTTACAACATGTTGATTGCTCCCGTGAGTGACTTGCTAGAAGGATCTGAAATCATTGTTGTTCCTGATCGCTGCTTCTTCCAAGTTCCGTTTGCAGCATTACACGATGAAAGTGGCCGCTATTTATCAGATTCTTTCAGGATACGAATTGTCCCTTCTTTGACGACTCTCAAGCTCATTCTGGACAGTCCAGCCGACTCTCACAGCGAAACTGGTGCATTGATTGTGGGTGAGCCAAGAGTGACGGATGTGTATTTCAAGGAGTGTTAAGGTATCTCTGTCCATTGCCTGGCGCGAAAGGGGAAGCAGAGATGATTGCGAGACTACTACCTGAATCTCACCTTTTAATAGGAGAGCAAGCAACAAAGCAGGCGGTTCTTCAGAGAATACCCTCAGTGAGCCTCGTACATTTCGCTGCTCATGGTGATGCCGAAAGAGGAGAAATTGCTCTTACCCCCGCTGACTCCACAGTGGAGTTTCCACACGAAGCAGACTACTTACTGTCAATGACCGACATTTCACAAGTTAGACTGTCAGCCAAACTGGTGGTCCTTAGTTGTTGCCATACCGCACGTGGACAGATCAAAACAGAGGGCGTTGTTGGAATCGCTCGAGCATTCTTAGGATCGGGTGCACGCTCAGTGTTGGTGGCATTGTGGGTCTTACAAGACAGAGCAACAGAGGAGTTCATGGGAATATTCTACGAAAACCTTGTCCAAGGGAAAAGTGCAAGCGAAAGTCTTCACCGGGCCATGAAGTGGATGCGAAATAACGGTTTCTCAGAAGTGAGGCAGTGGGCACCTTTCATGCTGATTGGGGATGACGTGTCATTTCACTTTGGTGAAGAAAAGTGAAGGTAATTGTTTCCTGACAATTAGAGCCATAGGAAATCTGTCAGGTCTTTTTGTATTACAGTTTTATCAACTTGGGTGCATTTGGTACTTTTAAGTACCAAATAGAAAGCAGTATTTACCCTTAAAAGCCACATTATTGACTACATCTGAAGTTAGCTTTTACTATGACTGAGGTAAAATATCAATTATCCGCTTTTTAACATTCGACCACACCTCTGTACTTATCAGTCAACCCGTGCATATGCGGGACTTTGCATTTGAAAAAGAAAAAAAAAAACACTAAGCCCCGAATCCCTACAACAACACAGAATGATTTAATTCTTTTCTCTCTTTTCTGATATATGAGGCACAAATAATTCAATATTCTTTTATTTGCTACGGTTCAATATGATCGTGAGGGTTTGCTGACAAACTTTTTTCTTTCTGAATATAATAGGAAGAGAATTCCGGTTATGAATCCGAACCAAACAGCCCAGGGAACGTTTTTGTTTGATATAAAGATAATCGGATCAAAAATATTATGGCGGAGATCTAGATCTCAGAATTGATCGAAAACACTGCAAAGTACAAATTATGGACTGTGTATGGAGTCTTGACCGTAACTAGAGGGCTTTTCGCTGACACTGACTGAATTACAGAAGTACACTGGTTCTAAACTTGGACCAAAGAGGGAAGACCGAGATTCCATAGGTCATCAAGGCAAGAAGTTTCAAACCTATTTTAGCTGTGCACCCTACATTTCATTTGTGATGCCAATTGATTGGAAAGTTTGAGCGGTGAGATAAACTCAAATAAGTAAACCTCTTCCGCCACGATAAAGCCGGAGGATCCCTCCTCCATGTAAAATGAACCTAAATGCCACTTAGCCCAGCTGGAGTCTTTTGTGTTGAGTAGATGTGTTTTATTAATTTTTATGTTTCTTATACATTACTGTTGCAGGTATTACACTAACGACACACCATGGAATAACGAAACAGCCCTTCCGCAGAATTCCAATGAGGTAGTCCCTGGCGGATAATGTAAAGGATCAATCTCTGCAGCATACGAACATTGATTAAAAGAATTACTGTGAAAGAGAACTGACTTGCTTGGCCCAGCGGTTTATCTTTGCCGGCTTAATTATTTTTCCCACTAATCTTATTTTTTTGTGTGTGTGTAGGTACCTTGAGTACTCTAATCTCTAAAATGTCTTGAAAAGCTCAAATCACCAACTTTGTACATGTAGAAGTGTACATCGGTAGCTCGGACAATGATAAAATTGTAATTGTGACACGAATAACGTTAGGATTAGCTAATTTCCCTGTCTTTTTAGGTAATTTGCAAAAAAACCCTACTTCCTTAATTAGTCCCTAAGGCTACAAATAAAAAATACTTTTTATGTAAACGAGATTTTTTTAATCGCAAATTGAAGTTTGATTACAATGCAAACAACATTGCAAGGTTTATAGTTTAGTAGAATTGTATATATTTTAGAGCCAATCTTTTTGTGAACATAGAAGCAGTAGTTTTGCAACCTTGCATTATGAAATAAGATTTGATGACTCAATTTAGTCAAATAAAAGCCCTGCGAAACCAACTTGTCCTAACTCCAAACTAGCCCAGTTGTAAACTAAAGGTTATTTCATTGTATAATGTTCATGCCTGAGCATAGGTTAGTATGTTAGTATAGAAGACCAATATTTGCTTTTAAGTATGATGCAAAGATTTGATGGTCCAGTTTTCAGTAGTGCTTTGAGTAGGAAAACTAATTTTAGTAGTTGGAACAGCATGTCGCGTATCCGAGAAGGTCGCACATGGAGGTTTGATTGTAATGTGTAAATAATCTCACCAAGTTTCTTAAAATAAAGCGTATTGACATAGCAAATTCGTGTTTATCCTTAATTATCTATTTGCTCTTTAACAAAAAATATTTCCTACAATATCGGAGAGATTTAGAATCCATTCAGGTCAAACGGCAACGTCAATTTTTACGTGACCAAAGTATCATTCTAAAAAATAAATAACTAAAATTGTAATTTGTAATTTGTTTTCCCACGGAGCACTTAGAAGTTATTAAGAACTCGCTTAAACGAGTCCGTGCGTTGCTTGCGGATCGAATTGGAATTTGGAAAGGTTGGTTTTTGGAGAGAGGGGAAAACAAGAGCACCCTAAGAAAAACCTATCGGCAAGGAAGAGAACCAACAACAAACCTATCCTTTCATATACCTGAAGCATGAAAAAGGTACCCCTTTCGGTCGGAGCCTCACCATAAAGGCCATTATAGGGATTTCCACCCCCCACCCGGGGGAAGCGAGGCAAGATCCCTCACCACTGCACCACCCTTGCGCAGTTTTCGTCAGAAGCCGATTCAGTTGTTGTATCTGCAAAAAAAGTTAGTAGTTTCATGTCGATCAGTCTAATCCATAACAATTATTTTGCAAAGTTTGTACCTGTTCATTTCCTAACTCAAGAAATCGAAAATGTCACCTTGGGTCTGAATGTTTGCCGCTTGCCGTGACTCTCGATTTTCCTTTCAACGACTGGAATCCATAAATTTGGTCTCATAAAAGTTACTGCCATGATCACTCCCGTCGATTCGGAATCGTAGAATTACGTTGACGACAAAGTCGAAACATCATGTTCAAGTATTACAATTACTCAAGTTAGGAAATCAACAATCAACAGATAAAAACTGAGAAAATTAAATTATCCTTACGGATAAACCTGACATGAATGTCTTTATTTTGGGGTAGTAAAGATAAACATTTAATGACAAATAAAGAGAAAGCTTAGCAACATGTTTCCAAATGGCGTTAACTGTAAACGTGATTCTAAATCTCTAGACGCCTGCGTTCGCATGGAAGTTCTCCAACGAACCAATGGGGCAGGAATGGTAAAAATTCTTTTCGGTGTCCGTTTTACCACCGCTGCTTTACTTCTAAAAATCACTAGCTGATCCTTTTTTTTTAACTACCGTTCATCCTTTGCACAGATACCGGGAAATAAATTTAAGACTTTTCAAGACTTTTTTCCAAAACAATAATTGCTTTTACCAGACTCAAGATTATCAAATAGCTAAGTGATCAACAGAGACCTTAAAAAAACGCAGGAACAAAGATTTTTTCATGATAAGCTGCAAACAAACGGGCGAAATTAAATAAGATTTGACCAAAACGAAAAACGTTTCACTCATCAAGCACTATTTGTTGTAGCTTTGAAAAAAAAAACTCAAGATTTTTTTTACTATTTTTTCAGACTTCATCTCCATGTTCGAGACTTTTTTCAGGTCTGGAAAATTTCTGAAAATTGATGCTCTGTACGATCCCTGAGTGTTGTACAAGGTATTTCACTCCATAACTTGCACGTGTACACCACCGTTCAGAGAGCTACTTCGGGTCCCATCGGGGATGGATTTTGATTTTCGTCACTATCCAGATCTTGGTAGTACTTCTGATTGGTGAAGGCAAATTTTTAACCAATCAGAAGAGTACTACCCAGATCTGGGTAGTGACACGTCATCAGTATGGAATTTCTGCGCTCGTTTCTCAGACGTCATTTCGCGGGGAAACCAGTGGTGGCGTCGCGAAATGTTGGTTGTTTTCTCAGGCTAAGTTGGGTCAGTTACGAGTGGAAATGCCACGACATTTGATGCGTGTATCATGGCAGAAAGGCTCTACATACGCGTGACAGAAATTAATGTGCAACGATGCTAAAGTAAGGTGATGGCTAATCCTAACACTGTACTGATGAGACCTGTTTGTATTGGGAAGCAAGTAGTTGAGACTGTGAAGACATACAAACTACTCGGAGTACCTATTAAGGAAGATCTTAAATGGAACTCACATGTAGACTGTATCATTGCTAAAGCCGCAAAACGTCTGATAGGATAGAATGTATTGAGAAGAGAGCACTCAGAATTATATATCCTGAATGCACAGCCTATAATCAAGCCCTTTTAGAGGCAAAAGTCTCATCTCTAGCAAATAGAAGGGTTTCCCTGTGTCGTCGATTTGTCTGTGATGTGGCTAGCAATCACAATAATCATTCCTCATTCTCAAAACTGAAACAAGATCTGTCTGTTATAATACAAAGAACAATAAACAAATTCAGAAGAACTAAGAGAGCCGACGAATTTTTTACATTATGATTACTAGTACAACTGTATACTCCTACTGTAGTTAAGTTGTATGTTTTGGATTGTATACATATCACTTGTTCATTCAGTATTTTTTAACTGCAAGAAAGTGAAATAAACTGTATTTATTATTTATCATTATTGGCCTCAACAGTGTGCCTCCTTGAAATTAAGCTTAGCTTCTTTATAGGGTTAGCTTTTTGCCAGGGTACTTACCCAGAAAACTATAGGCTGAACATTGGCTTACAGGAGCTGTGGCACGAAATGTATTATAATTCAAAAAGGGAGAGCTGCCAGCAAAGTGAGTAAAACATAAAATAAAGCCTCAAAACACTAACATAAGGTATGAAAACACAGCAAATACAAAAGGACGCATGAATGGACAAACATGAAGAAGATTGAAACGGTTTATAATTGTTTGTTTTAAAAAAGGTTTTTCAAAGTTCGTTTTTGTTGTTTGCAATGTTTGATATACATAATGCTTTGTAGCCTGCGTGACAGGCGCAAAAAGGAGGGAGAGGGGGGGGAAAAGCACGAAAGAGGGGAAAGGGAAGGGAGCGCCTGCTATAAGAGTCGGTGTTTTGTAATCCGCCCACCATTTTCTCAACTAATCCGATAATGTCACTGTCAATACGTGACCAATCGCAAGTACGGGGCTTCTCAGCATGGTCCGAACTTAATTACTTTGTTTACCGGAAATTGTCAAGTTGAGACGCTTTCTTCAAGTGATATCATGATCGAGCGAAATGAAACATTTTTACTGTTCTTGCTCCCGCAGCAAACACGACAAACATAGACTACGAGCAGTCTCTCATTTTTTTACTGCTCGCAGTCTACGACAAACAATGATCAGTTTCGTGTGAATACACAAGACCTTTTTATCTTA